AAAAAAAAAAAAAAAAAAAAGATTAACCCAATTAAAAGATGGGAAAATGAGCTGAACATAAATCTCCAAGGAAGACATACGAACAGCCAGAAAGCATATGAGGAAACGCTCAACATCCCTCATCATAAGGGAAATGCAGATAAAAACCACAATGAGATACCACCTAACCCCTGTCAGAATGGCAAAGATTAAGAATATAAAAAGTGATAAGTGTTGGCGGAGATATGGTGAAAAGGGAACCCTCCTACACTGTTGATGGGAATGTAAACTGGTTCAACCACTGTGGAGAACAATATGGAGGTTCCTCAAAGATCTACAAATAGAACTACCATTTGAGCCAGCAATCCCACTTCTGGTATCTACCCAAAGGACAGGAGAACGCTCAGTCAGAAAAGTGCTTGCACATCAATGTTTATTGCAGCATTATTCACAATTGCCAAGACGTGAAACCAACCTAAATGTCCACAAACTGATGAATGGATTGAAAAAGTGTGGTATATATACTTATGGAATACTTCAGTCATAAAAAAATAACAAGACCCTGGCATTTGATAGAAAGTAGTCATATATGGAGAATCTATTGCTGAGTGAAGTAAGCCAGGCTATGAAAGAAAGATATTGTATGTGTCCACTTAATATATACTGACTATCTGCACACTATGGTAGAGAGCGAAATATTGGAGGAAATAAAAAGGGAGGGGGTGAAGAGAAGAGGATAAAGATAGCAAGAGAACAAATAGAGAGGCATGACGTTAGTAGGAGACAGATATGGCTTATTACCTGTTAATGACGACATGTATAGTATTCTCAACTGGATTGGTCTGAGAAGTCTTTCATGATGGGTAAAGGTTACAAGCAAAATGAGAAATAGTGATTGACTGTTTAAAAAAAATTAGAATAATAATAATAATGATTGGGAAAAACACTGAAAAGATATTGAATGATGAAGTGGGGAGATTAATGTCTCTGTATTGACTGACATGCATGGCATTCCCTTTTGAAAAAGCAATGTAATACACTGTAAAGTTAGATGCAATCCAATGTAATATAAACAAGATTATGATGATAAAAAAAATAAATAAATAAATAAATAATTTTTAAAAATGCACAGATGATAAATGGGGAAAGGTTTTAATCCAGGTACTCTGAACCCCTTCTTTATCATGGCTCTAAAATTTCATACAGTAATAAGAAAGATAATTCACCAAATTTTAAATGGCACAAATTAAAACATTAAGCATTATGTATGTACAAAGTCTGTAAAATAGATATACAATTTTAAAAAGAAAGAAAAAACTTTATAGGTGACTTTTTCTTCTCTCTAAATTTCTGAATTTCCTCTTTTTTTTTAAAGAATTATTTATCCAATTTTATTTGCTATTATTATTTATTTGTTCAAACAGAGACAGAAATAGAGAGAAAGGGAAAGTGAGAAAGCAAGCTGCCAGGTCTGAGACTTAAACCACAGTCGGCCATGTGGGGGTCCAGCAATCAAACCACCACACCACCTGCCAGCCTCTCTGAATTTTCTCTTTTAATAGTGAGCATGGTTTAACTTTATAGATTAGCTTTTATATTATATCTTAGCATTACAGATTAAGTGATTTCAGATTACTCTGGAATGGAGAAAGTTTCCGAATTTTCACAAAACGCTAATCTCAACAATAACAACACCTATTGCACCAAGATATTTTGAGGCTTTACTTAACATACTTAAGTTCTCAACTATTGACATAAATTCTTCCCACACTAATAAATGAAATGATAATGATAAAGCATAGTTAGTCTAGCTAGAATTAGATATATTTTAAACTTCCATTCCTGAGCACACTATACACAATAATGCATATTATATATGTGTGTGTGTGTGTTCGTGCACACTCAAAATCACCTCAAGAATATGAACTCTTTGCATTATTCAGATGTTTGAAAAAGCATCCACATATCTATAAGGTCACATTATTTACAAATATCAAGCAATATAGGCAACAGATTTCTCTTATTGTTATTGTATCTCTCCTCCTCACTTTAAACCTAGATAGTTTCGACCCTATTTTATTTATTTTATTTTTAATTTTAGGAGTTGTAAAAATGCCCCATTTCAGAAATAATCTGTGAAAGTTTCCAAGTAGAAATGCCAAGCTCCTTTTATTTAACCTGTTCACTAGCTCGACAGAGATATTTATCTTTATTTATGTAACTAATATGAATTTCTCCTCAGATTCGGGATATGAATGCAATCATATATCTATTATTCTTCTCCACTAATTGTTTAAAAACTACTTAATCGTCAGAAGTCCAATATATTTTCTGTGGATCTTTCTCTGTATTAATGGTTTACAAATCTAGTTCAAAAAAGCAGATCTTCTTTGATGCTAAAAGGCTAGTGCAGTTTGGTCAGCACGTAACTATTGCTGTTTCTCACTGCTACATGTTGAAATGGGAAGTTAGTCTGATACCATGTCTCTGTGATAATACATCAGGGCAATGCTCTATCATAGCACAAGTCCAATATACCTGTTCAAGGCTTTTTTTCCCCTTCTACTAGTCATTTTTATCACATGTGCTTCCAAGGCCAGAGTGACATGTACCAAGCGAGTTAAGATATCTATACACACCAGGACACAGTAAGAAAAGAGTAGAAATTTTAAGAAGTGTACATATATATCAAATCAGAATATATTAAAGAATACATGAGCATAACAATTCGAATTGGAAAAGAAATGATGGGAGGCCAGTCATTTATCCTTATAAGAAGGTTCACTGTGTTAGCAAGAAGTGTTTTCCTAGGACTCTCCTCAAGGCCCCCATGACCTCCTTATTCCTCAGACTGTAGATCAGGGGGTTCAGGGCTGGAGTGACAATTGTGTAGAAAACAGAGATGATGTTGTCTTGCTTGGGGTTGTGGAAGGAACTGGGCAGGACATACATGAATGTGGCAGCTCCAAAGAACATCCCAACCACAGTCAGGTGAGAAGAGCAGGTGACCAGGGCTTTCTTCCTACCTTCACTTGAGGACATGTGGAGCACAGTGAACAGGATTAGTGTGTAAGAAGCAATGATAGCAGAAAGAGGAAGCAGGAGGAAAGTCACACCTGTCACGTATAGCATGAGCTCGTATCTGGAGGTGTCTGCACAGGCCAACTTCAGTAAGGGTGGGATCTCACAAAGCAGGTGCCTGATTTCCAAGGACCTGCAAAAGGGGAAGTGCATGGTATACACAGTATGTCCTAGAGCATTCAGAGAAGCCAGGATCCAGGATGTGGCCACCATGAGCCAGCAGACCCTTGGCCTCATGAGGACCATGTAGTTCAGAGGGTGACAAATGGCCACATACCTGTCATAGGCCATGAAGGCCAGTAAGAGGTCCTCTGCACCACCCAGAGTCAGTGCCAGGAACATCTGAAGGGCACAGCCTCCAAAGGAAATGGTATTATCTCTGCTTAGAAAATCCAAAAGGGCCTTGGGGGTAACGACCGATGTGAACAGGAGATCCATGAGAGAGAGTTGTGCAAGCAGGAGGTACATGGGCACATGGAGTCGGGTGTCCATTGTGATGACCAGGAGCAGCAGGCCATTGCTGGTGAGGGCCAACATGTACAGCACCGCAATTGTGGCACAGAGCAGTTCAGGAGATCCAGTGTTTGTCAGAATCCCCACCAAGATGAAGCCACTTCCTGAGGTAGAGTTCCAGAGCTCCATGCTATGTGGTTTCTTCAGTTGCCTAGAACCAAATGGATTCTAAGTGAATTTTTGCTGATACAGTTTTATGGTATCAGAGGCCCCATAGGTTACCCAAGAAGGAATCAATGAAATGACACATTTCTCATGAGTAACTGACTTTGCCTTTTAATATCTGAATTTTTAACTCTTAACCATAATTTAAAAAGAACCATTTATATGGAGAAAAATAATCACAATAATAGGTAACTTCAGGAGACAGTTATAAAAATATTCTCCAAAACATTAAATTTGACCATGTATCTTTCCAGAAAGATAAAATTCTCTCTTAAGAGTAAGAAAAAATTCTGCTTCACATGCCCTTATTTTTGCTCCTGCATTTTAAGTATAATGTTTGATTAATAGCTTAAATATTCAGTTATGTTTTAGCATAGGCCTGTTTTGAATATTAAATTCCAAACAGGTATAGGAAGTCAGTTTCAATGAAAAACTTCCATTTTTTTCTTCATATAGTAAATGTCCACTTTTGTTCACAGCATTCAAGGTTACAGACAGAAACCTCGTTACAAGAGCTAAAGTACATGCACCCTAGTTACCATCTTGGCCGACTCCATATTCTCCATGAGCTTGAGAGATAAGAGTTTCTGGACTGTTTGAGACCATAGGATGGTATATTTTTAGAAGGTGTTGCTTTAGAGCCGAACAGATGGGTTTTGTTTGTTTGTTTTGCTATTAACTGTGTGTGCCTGCCAGAGACCACAATCTTTTCTCCTCTCTAGACTCTGTGCATGTATACATACACGCCCAGTGTGTTTTTCAAGCCACCAGGTCTGAGACTCAAACTACACAATTGGTCATGTGGGATCCATCTGCCTTCACCACCACACCACCAACTTTCCCCAGATTTTTAAAAAACAAGTTATGATATGATGTGAACCTGGAGGACTCAAAATATGATAAGAGATGAGATCTTTCCAGAAATATTAGGGTGTTTGTTTTGGGGGAGAAGTGGTGAAAAACAAAAGAGCATCTATTATATATTGGAATCAAACTCTGTAATTCTGTTGTCTCTCCTCTGTCTTTGACTCAGATCTCCAATGTACTTCCTGTAAGCCCTAGCATCTACTCTGGTTAGAAGGGTCACAGGAATAGGTAGGAAGTACATCTGTTTTGGAAAAATGCTGTGGTATCCAATCCCATGGAGAAGACATAGTTACAGGAGCCTTGGATTGACAGGATTCAGGGTTGAGCATCATGGAAGTGGACAGACAAAAAGTCAACTCTGAACATGCAGTTAAATATGTAAACCATTTCCCCATACCTTACAAGTGTGTGTGTGTGTGTGTGTGTGTGTGTGTGTGTGTGTAGTAACATTTAATTGGTTTCCACTGGCCTCTTTTGGGTCCATAGGATCTTAATGGTAAAAAAGCATGAGACTGTATTGAGCATATCATCTTTTCTTAGATAACTTTTGAAGAATGTCATCATCAAGTCCAGAAACACTTTGCTAGAGATCCACAACACCCAGTGTCTAAAGGCAGGTGCTGATATTTTTTATCAGGAAGCTGACACCCTAATCTGTACTGTAGGAAACTCTATCAGTTCGAATCAATTCTCACTTTGTGTTCAGATATCCAAGAATTTAGGGGCTGAGATGGATTTGGAGCACAAGCCCCTTAGGAACCTGGATGACAGAATGGTTTAAACACTTAGAGTCTACTTTGAACTCTATTTTTGAACCCCACATGCCCAGAACCTACACATTTCCCTGAAAGAAGAACAAAGTCCTTACCTTAGATGGTAAGAAGTACAGCTGCCCAGAAACCCAGACTGCCCTGGAGGTTGTTTGAAGATTGAGAATGTTCTAGTAGAAATGGAGAGGGAGAGTGTAATTTTGTTCAGCAGTGTTCAGTTGGTTTAATTTTTGCTAAGTTGGGTTAAATGTCTGAGGAGTCCAATTGAGATCAGATGTCAGGGTCTTTCTATTTCTTTCACTGATCTGTACGTCTGCTCTGAAGGTAGGAGGGGATGATGCAAGCAGCTAATACAGTCTCTGGGTAGTTTTCTATATATCAAGAAGATTGTTTTTCTGTTCTACACTTGTGGAGAATTAGTAGGAACTGCTTTATTCTACAGATTCCCAAGGTGTGAGTCCCTCTGGACCTTAAGTAGTTGGCAAACAGAATTCTTGGGTTTACATAGATATTGCTTTATTCCTATTGGGGCCTAAAGGTAAAGATGAAAGAAACAGGAATCTAGAAGAAGCAGATATTGGAATAGCTGCCCCAAAGAGACACTACCATGACCCACTTCACTGTCCCTGAGGCCAACAGTGCACCTAGGCCCTTTCCTGGGGGGAGGCTACCCTGTGTCCTGATCCCATGACTTTCCCCTCTACAGTATTCTACCCCCATCTTCAGAGGGACATATCTATTCAGTAAAAATGGCCTCCCCTGTAAATGTTGGTCCAGGAATAGGATGATAATGAGTCCTCATGGGTGTGTTTCCTGCCCTGCTATGCCTGTATTCTCCTCTAATTAAATGAGCTTCAAGGCCCTAGATTTCTATTTTACCTTAAAGGAGGCACTGAAGGCCTGTTTCTAAATTGCTAAGTGAATAGTCCAGAAGGCAAAAGCAAAAGCTCCTTGTGTGTCCCATCTTCTTCCCCAGAACATTAGGTGGGTCCCTAGCTTCTGTTGAATTCTAGCTAACTCCTTTAGGGTCCTCTTAGCCTGACTATTTCCAAATCAATGTGATTTCTTCCTGGGGATTCCAAAATTGTGAGTTCTGTTCTTCATTGGACTCAAGAAATTTAATACGGTGAATACATGTACACATGTGCCTCAGTATTACTGCTGTCACTAATGATGCTTGAAAAGAGAGTGGACAGTTTTCTAAGTATTGAGCAGATAAAGAGCCAAAACATTTGTGGGACACAGAAGTTGTTTATTGGATGTTGATGATAACATATATAGTATTATCAACTGGACAGGTCTGAAGTGGGTTTCATGTTGGGTGAATTCTCTTTATAAGCCAAATGATGTATAGCAATTGAATGTTGAAAAAAATAAGAATAATTTTTAAAATAAATACTTGATACAAAGTTACAGTGCATAAAAACAAAGTATTGAGCAGAAAAATAAAAAGAAATCTGTACAGTACTGAAGTTGTAAAATGTCAATGTTGGTGAAAATCTTTAATTTTTCCTATATGTAAAAGACAGATTACTAAACCAAGACAATTAGATGGTGCACTTTTCATAGTAGTAATAGGACAATGAAGAAACATCTTCAAAAGTGCTGAGGAAATATAAATGTGCTCCTGGAATCCTAGACATGGCTGAAACATCATTAATGAGTAAGAATTAAAAACAAACTATATCCAGTATCTTCTCCAACCATGATAGAACTAAACTTGATATTAATCTCAGAAAAGCCCTCAAAAAATACAAATACATGGAAAAAATAACCTTCTGAATGACTCCATGACTTCTGCAGAGATTAAGACAGAAATCAAAAGATTCATGGAAACTAATGATAATGAGTACACAAATTTCCGTAATCTATGGTATACTGCTAAGGCAGTCATAAGAGAGAATTTCATAGCAATTAGTGCACACAAGAAAAAAAATGGAAAGGTGGCAAAAGGACAACCTAATAGCATACCTCAGGGAATTGGAAAAAGAACAACAAAAAAATACAGAAAATTCCAGGAGAAAGGAAATAATAAAGATTCAAGAAGAAATAAGTGAAATAGAAAATAAGTGAACTATACAGAAAATAAATGAAAGCAAAAGCTTGTTCTTTGAAAAGATAAACAAGATTGACATGACATTAGCCAGACTATTTAAGAAGAGAGAAAGGAACCAGATTAGTAAAATCCACAACAAATCAGGCAACATTACAACAGACATGACAGAAATACAAAACATAATTAGAGGATATTATGAGCAACTCTATGCCAACAAAGAAGAAAACCTGGATGAAATGGACAAATTCCTGGACACATATAACCTACCAAATTGACTCAGGAGGATATAGAAAGCCTGAATAGACCTATAACAAGCAATGAGTTGTATCAGTAATAAATAATCTCCCAACAAAAAAAATCCAGGCCCTGATGGCTTCACTACTGAGTTTTACAAAACTTTTAAAGAAGAGGTAACCCCCATTATATTCACACTGTTTCTAGAGATCCAAAAGGAAGGAATCCTTCCAAATTCATTCTATGAAGCCTCCATTACCCTCATTCCCAAAATGGATAAGGATACTTCAAAAAAGGAAAACTATAGACCTATATCCCTGATGAATATAGATGCAAAAATTTGCAACAAGATACTTGCTAACTGTATTCAACAGCATATAAAAAAGGTAATTCATCATGACCAGGTAGGCTTTATTCCAGGGATGCAAGGATAGTTCGGCATACTCAAAATCATAAATGTAATACACCATATTAACAGAAAGAAAGATAAAAAAACAGTATAATTATTTCAATCTGGCAGAGGCCATGCAGCCAACACAGTCAGAGCCTAAAGAGCTGCCTCTCTTGTCTAAGCAGGGCTTGAGTGAGAAGAGCTGCAAACAAGGCTACAGCTGCAAGCTCAGGCTTTCAACTGTGTTTGTTGTGCTGATTTGTGCTGTTTTTGCTTTCAATCTCTCTGCTATGGTGACCCATAAGGGTAAAACAACATCCCCAACCTTACTATAACTTTCACAATAAAACCAACTAATAATCCTGAAAGAATGCAGACTCCTAAGACAGTACTGAATGGGAATTATTTTGTGAGACACATCCCACTTGCCTGGAAAATATCAATAAAGAATGCTGCATTCACTTCTCCTACTGGGGACTACATAGATAGCATTAGAAAGGTTTGGATTAATGGAAAACTACTAAATTGGTGAAATGACCTCAGTAGCTGGGAGAGGCTCAGAGGCTCATCTGCAAGGTACTGATACCCCAAAAAAAGACCATGAGTCACCTCTGATCTCAGAACAAGGAAAGATTGCCACTCCCCC